GTGGAGACAAGAAACATACAAACAGTCGCAAAATTTGTTAGATTAACGAATTTAAATAAACTGATTTAAAAATGTATTATGTATAGGTTAAGTATATTGAATTAATATTAATAAGTTTTTTCTAGAGAGCCGAAGGTCTATGCAACTAGCGCTCCTTATTTATTGTAAGTCAGTGATTGATCACTTTCTTTCTGTATAATAATAATAATAATAATAATAAAATTAACACCGAAATAAATGCGGTGTAAAAGTGTTATTTTCATCACTTCGCAATAACGCAGAACGAGATTGAACTGATTAAACTGAGTAAGAGTGTGTGTGGAAATTCAAACAAAATTTTTCAATTCAATTTAAAATTTTTCAATTTGACTTACACTGGCGATCAACACCAAGTGCATGTACGACATTTGATTACTTACAGTTACATAACTTTTTTAATAATGAACGGATTGCTTTAAAATATTCAGCAATTGGTCCTTATTATCTAAAGAATAAAGCCCTTTTCAGTCAAAAAGCTCCAACTCTCGTGACTTTTACAAAATTTTAGTGTCAGCTTAATGGCTTGGTGTGTTTTACTTGCTGGTATTTGGAGCCGTTGGTTATTATTAAAGGAATAATGAACAAGGGAATCTATCTCCATATTCTCCAAACAAATTTGCCGGACTTTGCGGACAAAAACGCATACCCTGTTGTTTGCCAGCAGAACGGAGATCCAATGGATTCTGAAAATATTCGACACCGTCAGCTGCCGTCTCCCCAATCGTCTTGATATCAACCTCCCGAAATCTCGAAAACAGACAAGTTCAAAACTGAGTGAATAGAGTTGTCTTGAGTTTTTGCTGTGAATCGCTTGTTTCTTTTTTAAGTTTAGTTTTTCTGTATACTAGGCTTTATTCCTTAGATAAGATAAGGACCAATTGTTGAAAGTTTCAAGCTAATCCGTTTATTATTATAAAAGTTATGTTACTGTAAATAATAAAATGTCGTATATGGACTCAGTTTTAATCGCCAGTGTAGAAGCCGTGCGGCGAGGCACATACACAAAATCAGCTGATCTAATAGCACCACCTTATATAAATTCGCCGTACAATGATTTTCAACCGTTTTACGGATACGTAAATGAACGAAAATTGTAGTCGTTTCCGGATACGGAAAATTGTGCGAGACCGCAACTCCCGCAAAATTTACGCTTCTCTGCTGGCTCGGAGGCTGTCTCCCTTTGATTGTGGAATAGATACGTTACCAAGGTACGTTACCAAGATTCGCCTTGTACGATACCATCAATATACAGCCTCGGCCAAAAGTATTAGGCACACCAATATATGATGATTTTTAATTTTTTTTTGTTTATTTAATGTTTGAATTTTTTATAAAAGCCTAGCAAATTCCAAACTTTGTGCAGAAAATGTAAAAATTCTGCAAATTCGCTGCGGCAGTGTAGCACCAATTTGATTGTACTTAAGAACGGCTAACCCACGAAAATTTACATAAAGGCTGCGTTTCTTTATACATTCCGGATAATCCCATTTCACAGCCGGAATAAACAGAATGCGTTTGAAATATACGTCAACATATCATCAGGAACGTTCTAAAGAAGAAATAAACAAAAAAGTTTATTCCAAACGTTCAGAATGAATAAAGAAATGCAGCCAAAATATTTGCTTTCCTAAGCACCCGACTTAGAATGATTGCTATTGAAGTAAAATAACTTAAAATTCTAGATTTAAAGAAATGTAGAACGCAAGTTACTTCAAATACACTGCAAACGCCTAAAAGTATACTGCATACCTTATTGCAAATTTCCCATACTATTACATTTGGTCACCTTTTGACATTTCACCTTAGACAGTCTTTCTTTATGCAACTTGGCCACCCTTTTTTGTACATAGCCGAATTTGTGATGCCAGATCGTTAATTTCTATATTAGAGGGATATTTTGCAACAAAAATTACTAACGGGCTAACCTAATATTCGCGGCTTGCGTTTTGGTACGCACTTCGTCGAATTTGTTTTTTGCGTTACCCGAAATTGGCTTGCGTGCGTTTGCATTTGATTTCATTGAGCGAAACGTCAAATCAAAATGTCAAACAGAACGAAAATTGGAAATTTAGTTAAGTTCATACGCACGCCGTTCACTTTCGTACAAGTTGTATGTGCATGAGAAATTTTTGACATTGGCGGCGTGCGTGAATATTAGGTTAGCCTGTAAGAAGGAAAACTGTATATTTTAAATAAAACAGAGATTTTCATGTCACACAATTATCGACGCATAATTGATCAGAATTCAACCAAGAATGTAAAAAAAGTCAAGCGGTTCAACATTCAAGTCTATAAAAATCATATTCGCTTATACAATGCAAATAATTTGTAACAGTGAAACATTTAAGAATAGCCAGTAAGTATTCAACATTAAAAAACACGTTTAGACATGTTTTTCCATTTTGTTGATACGCGGTTTTGTACTTTAAACGACGATATGTAAATAAATAACGTTACCTTAATATAGA